AGACTAATGTAATGCTTCATATATATATATATATATATATATATATATATATATATATATATATATATATATATATATATATATATATATATATATATATATATATATATATATATATAGAGAGAGAGAAAGAACGGGAATATATATATATATATATATATATACATATATATATATATATATATATATATATATATATGTATATATGTCTCACTAGTTATTAGAAAAATTAACATAAATAAAAATGAACATAATAGTCTTCAAATATCTCTAAACGTATCAAACTGCTATACCGTAAATACATTTTATCTATAAGCAGCAGAAAAATAATTCTAAAAAGATTTATAAACACTAATATATCCCCCATAATGATTCAAATAAAAAGAAAATTAATTATATAATATACTAAATTTAATACAAATTCAATACATTTGTCATCCATAATAACTCCTCCCTGTCAACTAGCGTCTTACGAAAGATCAACATCCTATATTAATTTCCTTTGATTAATTTCATCTCTGATAAAAAAAAGTTAATCCGTATGTTGGTTTTACAACTACGACGATGACGAGAATGCATATGTTTCACTTGAACGATCATAGTTCAATCTCACATCATTTAAAGGAACTCTCATGTCTACATTCGCAGTTTAGACGGATATTAGTCAAAAATACATCAGTGCTCCATCAAGATAGTAATAATCAAAAACTTAAAAGTCTGGAATCTCTTTATATAAGACTATAATAAACTCAACTATAAGTATAGCCATAAATTACTTTAATGTTTGTAGTAGAAAATTTTGTATAAATTAAAATACTACAGTTAAAAAATATTTTTAAAAAAAGGTAAAAAATATTTTGAATTTACAGTATTAACGCATAACCCATACATAGATGTGTAACCCCTGAAGATGGTCTCAGATGAGGTTAAAAATAAAAGTATTTTGGAAAATAAAAATAATTTGAAAGCAAATTTTTGAATTTTCTCAATCAATTTTCTACTCCTACCAAGAAATTAATTTGTGATTCTTGAAAGGATTAAAACGAAAGTAAATAGAAATCGTACGTCTAAATTGTTTAATCAAACATCCTTGTATGAAAATATGCTTCCTACACACACACACATATATATATATATATATATATATATATATATATATATATATATATATATTTATATATATATATATATATGGTAATCCGTATGAAATTTCCAGGAAGATATTTTAAGTATTTGATATTCTTTAATTAATTAATTAATAGTATATATATATATATATATATATATATATATATATATATATATATATATATATATATATATATATATATATATATATATAAAGACGTTTTTTTTTTATACGTTCTTTTTTTATAGATACAAATAATTTAAGTAAATGCTCTGCTTATAATAAACAGTATTATTGACATTTAACGGCCTGAATGTCCGAGAAATTATCATAGAAAATATGCGTCCTCTGACAGGAATCGAACCTGTATGCTCTACGGAACCGTCATATAGCCTGACGTGCTTTAACAATAGTCATATATGACTGTTCTGTATAGGATACAGGTTCGATTCCTGTCGGAGGACGCATATTTTCTATGACAATTTCTCGGACATTCAAGCCGGTGAGAGTTGTTAATACTGTTTATTATAAACAGAGTATTTACTTAAATATTTGTATCTATAAAAAGAACGTATAAACATAAAAAAAATGTCTCAAAATAATTGTCGGACTTTGTCCATTTCATAATACACAGACATATATATATATATATATATATATATATATATATATATATATATATATATATATGTGTGTGTGTGTGTGTGTATGATTATTACTACTTTGCAGAAGAATGCCATATCTTCACTTGATAGTTTCTTTTATGTTTTTCATTCAGGATTTTCTCATTACCATCATTTTTGTCCGTGCTAAACACATTGCTATGGTCCCGTCAGTGGTTCTTAAGTCCACCTTCACTTTTACAACCTCTCTTACATAAGTGTCAAACGTAAAGTTTGTCCATGTTACTTATGTTAGAAACTTGACTGTCCCTGTGTACAATCATGTGACGTTTGATTCCAGTAACAGTTGTTTTCATATCAAGAATTTCTAGTAGGATAAGTGAATTATTGTTCGTGTAGGTGTCCGTGCATGTTTTTGTGTGTGTATTACTGAGTGGGTGTATCTGCAGAGTTTTATAATGGCGTTGCCATAGAAAACAGAATCGGGAAACTGTTCGAAATTAGAAAAGGAACGTATCATCTTCTTTCTTAGCTCTATTTCATCTGGAGATAGTTCGATGCAAGATCTAGTGTCTGGCATGTCAAAACGATTGGCGGAGAACCTACCTCTTAAAGGAACACAGTTCCTTGTAATTACGTTACCTACCCAGTAACAGGTAAGAAACGTCATCTTCAGAGTCAATTGAGTACACTGGCGGAAAATATAGTAAAAAGATGGCGATCTGCCAATTTTCCTATTAGCGAAAGACCGTTTTCTTGTCTTAAAAAAAAATCAGTTTATGAATACAGAGATAAACACGTAACTGGCTCAACCACCAATCGTGTAAGTAAATATAAACATATTGTTCGGACTTTGGAAACAATTGTTCCGTTTTTCTAGTCGTTCTTTTAATCTGACTTGAGGCTCTAGGAGCAAACGTATTGCCACTTTGGATGATAGAGTTATCATTTCTTCCCTTTTACGACCGGGCCATTCACTGTCGTAATTTGTTATTTTACCCATCTGCTCCATGTTTAAAATAGATAAAACGGAAAATGAAAGAAAGATGGAAGCGATAGAAGAAAGAAGAAGAACCGGAAAAGGAAAAAGAAAGAGATATAGAAAGAAAGAAAATTTAAACAAGATGATAATAAACATTAAGAAAAGGGGAAAAAATTGAAAGAAGGCAAGAAAGAAAGTAAAAACGAGCTGGAATGAAGAAAGGTAGGAATTAAGAGAAAAAGAAAGAATGAATGAAATAAAGTAAGAAAGAAAGAAGTTCCAAAAAGAAGGAAAAAAAAAACTAAAAATGAAAAAAGATAAGCATTAAGAAAGAAAAAGGGTAAAAACAGTAGAAAAATAAATAAGAGAGGCATTAAGAAAAATGAAAGGAAAATAAAGAGAGAACGAAAGAGAGTCCGAGTAGAAAGAGTAAAAGAAAGATAGATAAACATTTAGAAAAAGTAGAGAAAGAAAAAAAAAGAAAGAAAAAAGTAACATAAGTAAATAAGAAAAGAGAAAAAATGTGGAAAAAATAAAACGAAAATGAAACTTTAAGAAAGAAAATATCAAAAGAAGCAAAAAAACAAAAAAAAAACAAACATTAAAAAAAAAATGAAACATTAAACATTTTATAACCCACAAGTGTTTTCTAATGCCAGGCAAAAGCTTAGAAAAACGAAGCAAAAAGCCCGAAAATGAATCTCAACGAAAACAGACGACAGACGACACATTTTGACTCACTGAGTCACGTGCCACCAACATAAAGAAAAAGCAACCGGCAATACAAGCGGAAGTGGCACTGTATGCTCTTCTCGAGGCACGCTTCCATGACACCGGAAGTTTTCATCGTACATTTGCAACGAATTCTGCGCGCCAAAAAAAGCCCTTTGCCGCTATTCGATATTTGCAATTTCCTTTTCTCTGTTTAATTAATTAGGTTTTGAGTACTAACGATTCCCTTGGCATATGAGCTTTTTATTTTCATTTGCCAACACGTGGCCTATTTTGGTTGCTTCGTCTCACACGGCTGTTTAATAAATTCATCTCTAGTTGCGGTCCGTAGTGCATAAAATATTAGTTTGTAATATTAGAAAATTGGGATCATTTTAAAGGACGTTTTGTCGATTCATATTAAAGAGATCGCAGTGTGGCCGATTGGTGGGAAACGTTAGCGTGTCGACCATAATAACCAGGTTCAAAATTTACCCTGGTCAATTTGTAGCATTAGGATTATAACTGCAGAAGGAGACGATTCCAATGAGAGAAAGTTAAAGAAATGCCTGAAAAGGATATTACGGTAGATGTCTTGAAACAGTGCACGATTTCGTAAAATTCTTTTTACTTAGTCGAGTATTTAAATATATCTGACTTTGATACATTTCAGTGTAGCCCATCTGGCGTGGCTAGATTCGGCGTCAGAAAAAAATATTTGGACTATTCGGCACGGCCGTTTAGGCATCAAACTTTTTTGATATCGCTATCTTTGACCGGAAGCAACCCCCAAAAAAAAAAAAAAAAAAAAAACTGGATAAAAGCATTGAAAACACCAACTTTCAATATGACTTTTTATTAATTTAGGGAATTATAGATCATATTAAAACACTAATGGAATAATGTAAATTAAAAACTTAAATTACAAATTTTGTTTCTCAAATTTCTGTTCACATCGCCAAAACTTTAATTCAGGATCTGTCTTGCAGGTTGCGTCAAAAATAAAAAAAGGTATCAATCGTGTATCACTTTGTTTCTTCCACGTTTTGATAAGATATTTGCTTCCATTTTGGAATAAAAGGGTTTTGACGACTGAAAAATATAAAGCTGCACTGGAGGAAATATAATATAAAAAACTATTCTTTTTCTTGAATATAAAAATGCCTCCAACTACACTTTTTCATAAATTGGACTATTCGAGCATATAACGACGAAGACTGATTTGACTACGAAACGAGAGAGAGAGAGAGAGACAGACAGAGAGAACAAATTTGACTATAACGACGAAGTAGTAATCTGACGCCTAATAGTCCCTCTGTCGAAAAATTCCAATGTCGAATCGGCCACGCTGAATCCGGACACTGAATCGTCCCATTCACATTTTTAAAACTAGAGATACATTGAAAAGTTGTCTACTTGTAAACGAAAAAAAAAAAAGCGAATATTAATAATTTACAATAGATAATATTTTAGTTTTGTTCTTGTTTTTCAAAATTTAATAAATATCAACAAATTTTTGCATTTTAATAAAATTTATTTTCTAAGTGACAACTTTTTAAAAAGTTTCGGACCAAAAAAATAATGGCTGCCTCCAGAAGGAACGAAACACGAAACCAAAAGAGAGAGAGAGAGAAAGATCGATAGAGAGAGATCGATAGAGAGAGATTGATAGAGGGAGAGAGAGAGATCGATAGAGAGAGAGAGATGGAGAGAGAGATCGACAGAGAGAGAGAGAGAGAGAGAGAGAGATCGATAGAGTGAACAAATTTGACTCTAACGATGAAGTAGTAATCTGACGCCTAATCATCCCTCTGCCGAAAAATTCCCATGTCGAATCGACAACGCCAAATGGGCTAAACCGGAACGTCCTTTCTCCTATGTGAGGATGCTTCCCGAATAACTACAATAACTACGCCGAATCGGCCACATCGAATCGTCCACGCCGAATCGGCCACGCCGAATCGGCCGCGCCAAATGGGCTACGCCGGAACGTCCCATCCCATCCCTAATGTATCTATACCAATATTTTGATATCTTTTTAGTTTTGCAATATTGTGCTGAAATGTCTCTGCGATCTTTACGGTTATTAAAAATTGGTGTAACGTGTTTGCATCAAATTTCATGTGAAGCTCGGTAAATCTTTCTTCTTGCTAATGGAATAGGATGGAATATGGATGAGTCGACCCCGTGTAAGTCGTGTGTTCTCGCTGTGAAGGTCTGGTGTGGTGGAAGCAAGGAATGAAGCTCGTCTAAATGTAGGCCATATAATTAGTGATAGAATGGCGAGCGACCAGCAACGTTTCGTTTGTAAGAATGGGGTTGCAAGATGGAATGCAATTCATCGCTCACAAAGAAAATGTAAAAACGTTTGAACTCAATCAGGACTGGAGAGAGAGAAGCGGCCAGCACCAGCACAGATACTCCATTTTTATTTGATCTGACTCTTGTAAAGCTGGAATATAGCAGGAGGAACCAGATAGCTTTTTGAGCAATATAAGGATCCGACCATTTCTCCGGCGGCTTATGCTAAAAGCATCTCGAGGGATGGTACTAATACATGAGATCCACTTGCGATGAGCATTAGTCCTGATAGACATTTGAGCCTCCTTAAGAGTAGAAAGGAGGAGGATGAAGAGGAATAGGAAGAGAAGAAGAAGACGACAACGACATCCCCGTCTCTCCCTTTTACGCAGGAATGCCTTTGATTCCACTTGAGATCTGGGGTGAACTTGAATCGCAATAGACTTGCGACGAAAGAGGGATCTTGGGAGCATGCGCCTTCATC